TTCCACTAAATTCCAGTTCAGTCCGTAAGTAAGCCATGCAGTGACTTAGATCAGAACTTAGCGGAGCTCCCGGGCGCGCCGAAGGCCCACGTGAGTTAAACACCATACTTAAGATGAAATTGGTACACCAATGAGCTTCATTTCGTCACTTCCGACCGCACATCCGTCCGTCCGTGTCCACACCACAGTGTTCCAGCTTGATTTCAAAGCAACTCGTCAATGGACAGAAAACTGACTTTCCCTCATTAGTTTTAATATATCTTTAGATTATTTATTTTAATGTTGAATGAAATATAAAAAGGAGTACACAGTAGCCAAATATTCGCCATTTATTTACTTTTAAAATATTTAAGAATTCAGCCTGTGTTTTTAGCAAACCGGGATCGCATATTTTTAGTTGTAAATCAGAGAAGATTTTCTTTCAATAGTTTTAAATTATCTATAGATAACTTTTTTTAATGTACACAATATATCATATACTGTTACAATGTCATGCTCACGTCAGAGATAAGGTATTCTTCGATCGAGTTACGATTTTCGAGTTACGCATTTTTCGAGTTACCACAGGGAACCCGGCTTTAGAATTTGTACATGAATTTAAAAAATCAATAAGTGCTTTATTGGGTTTCCTGTGTTTAAAATGTGTTCATGAATAAAAAAAATCAGTAAGTGCTTTATTGGGTTTCCTTTGTCGAGATTCGAAACAAGAACCTGATACGCTGAATTTCCGGTAATCGTACTAACCAGTAACTTGATAGCAGATTAACGCAACCTAACTTGAGAGCAGCTTATAATTCAAATTTAACGTATTAGAGTAACGTACTCTCTAGGGCGTACTTACTAGGGCGTGCGTTACACTGATCAATGCCTGATAATACCTACGATTTTTAAAGTGTCCATACGTACTAACTTTAACAGACTTTCATAGCTTTCATTCTTAATTTGAAAAAGTGTTTTTAAAACATAATAATTAGCATCTTCGAGTCTGTTTTCCTGAACTTTCCCAAGACCAATAAGTATTATGCTACAATATTATAAGTGAGGAACTATAAATGATTTGTATAATAGAGTCATTGTGCTCACAGATACAAAGTTGGAAGTTCTGAAAGAAAAATACACCTATGTTCCAAAGTAAGATTAAGTTTCTGCATACCAGCATATTGGGCAGCCCAGTTCACCCTCCAAGAGCGTCTTGTTTTTTAACTTTTGCCTCTCAGTTCATCGACCGGAAAAAAATTATTCGAGATGTAAATCCGTTGTACTTTCACCATTCTCAGTCCATTCTCAGTTAGTTAGCTCAACAATCAATAGAATGATTGTTCTTCGAATTGAATATGTTTTCTTAAAATTAAAATATCGCTTAAAATATCGATTTTTCTTTCAGTTCTCTGTCTGAAAACCAAACGAGTTGGTAAGAATGATTCGTGAAGCCGCGTCACACTTGACACGCATTTTAAAGATGATAACAAGTATCAATTACTTTATTTAAGATTGCTTTTTTTTCCACTGTCAATAGACTACAACTTCGATCTAGATATTCGTTTCTAAAGAGATTCTCGACAGCTTTGTAAATGTAGCTAATCTGCATTTTACTTCAATTTTAATAAACATCCGAGCTGTGTCTCCGGGCTTCACGCTATTCTTAATTAATTAATTAATTAATTTTTACTGCCGTCCGTTAAAACTAATCAGTCGGTACCTTTCATATTTTTGGACTGATATTAATTGTTTTACGTTATCTCTTAATCGACAAATAAACGATATGATCTGACGGATAAATAAACGACAACAGCATTATTATTAGAGTGGCTTATTGAAACTTGAATTAAAATAAATATAAAAATGAATTTAAATATATATATATGTTGAGCATGCGCATATCTTTTTACCTGATAATGGTTTTTGCGACGCAGCAGGGGAACAGGGAACCGCCTTCAAAATAAAAGTTACGAAAGATCTATATATTAAGAAGCTTTAGCTATTGTTTGGTCAACATTTATGGGGCGCTGATCCAGTCTATATTCTCATTATTTATTTATTGCTTCAAGTATTGTCTTTTTACTTTGATCTTTGAATTTACTTTTATGGTAATTATATTTCATTTCTAGCAAGACTGAAGTTCTTTTTGAAGCAGAAGAATTTACTTTAATGGTCATTTGTTTAATCTTTTTTGGCAATCGTATTTAGATATTCTAATGCAGGATTTTTTTTATTATTCTAATCTAATTTATTCAAGGTCTTTTGATTTCTAATATGCCAATTATGATGCATTGCGAGCCTCGATTTGACCGAGCGAGAGACTGGTGATGGAACAAGTTAACTCTATTAACTATGGTTACGCACAATTTTGACGTCGTTCAAACGAATGTGTGCAAAGACAGGATGCAAAAGGATTGTGAAATATCTATTGTCATGTTAATTTCATATTATATTTCCAGCGCTAAGAATAATCTCTCTTTTTCAAGTTTTATATTTTAACAAATAAAACAGCTTTTTCCGAGGTCCATTCAGTAATAAAGCACGCGTGAGGCGACTTTAAAACAAGAAGAAGTGTAAGGAGAAGAACGAGCCGTAGGCGAGGTGCTTCCTAAGTGCTTCATTACTGAGCGGAGCACGAAAACTGCTGTCTCATTCGTTTTATTATATAGTTACRAATTTCATTTCGTTATTGAATTTATTTTCACAAARCGAAAGACRCTCSCAGCACTTCGCGCRCGCGGATGGCGTCAGCACTGTGCTCCGTTCACTAATAAAGCACAGTTTTCAACCTATCCTAACGATAAAGTAAATATATATCATTRTCGATCTTGGTGTGAATCTTGATTGACTTTCGATTTCTAACGCTTGGCTGGTCTTTCAAGCGTCGTATCARAGAGCGTTGTCTCGGTGCGATATGACTATCAGTAATACATGATCAATCGCGAAAAAGAGTGTTATACGATTTCCAAACACCGATAAGTGTGTTGAAAAAACGA